TCCCAATACATTACTTGATATTTTTGATCATCAAAAATAAACCAAGATCTAAATCCTTGGGGTGACAGAAGTCCTCTTTCCTCCAGAACTTTACACATGCCATGATACCTACCGAGAGCATGGATACCAAGCATTCCATGTTCCAAATCAAAAGGATCTTCCTTTGCAATCAAAGAGAACCCCTTGGCCTGTTAAAAATAATAAACAATCTAATTTATTTATTTTTATATTAATTATATAACTGTTAGAGCAGCTGATATCAGTATATAGATTATTAAGTACCCTTAAATCTTCCATTACAATGCAGGTATAAGGAATGTGATAGATCATTCGGCACCAAAGGACATCATCAAAGTCTTGGAATTCTTCCATTAGGTATTCCATTTCTTTAAATATACTGTACATCTGGACAAAAATAGATTTTCAATGTATATATATATAATATATTTAAAAGGGGCTCAGTGATTCAAAGTAAAAATGATATAGTTTAAATATATATGAAATATCTTAATTTAAATAAATTCTTAGTATAATTATTAGAATATTATAAATTTATAAAGAATTGATACATACTATAGTTTCATTCTTGAATGTACCGAGTCTATTGTTAAATGCTTGAATGAATTCATCTGTTGATGATGTTTTAATAATTAGACTCTTTTTAACAGTTCTGCCATTCCCGAGGATTACTTTGAGATTCAACCTGTTGACGGTGGACAAGGAATTTACAAACGTCCTTACTGCAGGAACTATCTCCAAACTTACAATATTGTCTGAAGTTAGATCTTTCCAGTTCCTCTTCAAAACACACTCCAAGATTTCCTTGTCCATCTTAAAATAATTGTTATTAATAAAGTCTGGATTTAATAAATATTTCATTATTTTGACAGCTCAGGTAGATATGATATATTGTTAAAAGTACTTTTAATAGACTAATATTATTTTAGTGAAAATAATTTCAAATTTGATCAATTTTTTACATTTCTGTCTGAGAAAACTTTTAAATGACCTGAGTGTATTAACTTACTTAATTTATCTTCTAGAATTCTATGACTCAGAATGGTGATTGGGGACAAAAGAAAAAGCTTTAAACCGTTTCAGCTTTAAAAGGCAGTGAGCATCTCACCATTTTTGTCTTTTTGGAGAATCTGTTGAGAAAAATTACTTTATTATTTTTTATTTATTGTATAAATGAGACATGTATTTTATTAATGTAAATAATTTGTAAATTAATTAATAAATGTAACAATAAACAATGATTCAGACCAATGACAGTATGGGCATGCTTTAACTTATGTCTGTTCGCCAGTGGCAACATTGAATCTTAACTGTTTTGTTTAAATACCCAGCATTCCCATAATACAATCATACTCATCTTCAAAACATCTTATAATAAATATACTGAAACAAAATCCTTTTGGTCATAAATTACAATTTTTCTTTATTATAGTTTAAAAAAAAAAACATTAAAGAGGTATTCACACTGGTACACTGATTAAAGTTTATCACACTGGTACCTGAATAAAGAGTCCTTAAAATAATTGAGTCAATATTATCAAAGCTTTATAATTGAAGGAAATATATTGAAGAGCTCATTCACTAGTATTAATTGTATTGAGTTAATATTATGTCAGTTACGATCTTGCTTTCTCTAAAGAAGTACTCTTCAATCATTTTTCTGGACATGAATTTCATATTACTCTAATTTCCTTGGCTGTGACATTAAAAAATATGATTAGATAATAAAAATATCCTCTTATTTTTAATGGTATGGAAATGATTGACCATAATCATAATTTGGGAAGTTAGTCGGGGTTGCAGACAATATATAATAATATGTATTTAAATAGCATTTTTATAAAACTTCGCTAAGAAGAAATTAAGTTCAGGCCTATTATAAATAGAATTGGGAGTCCAACCTATAAATAGATTAATCTCAAGAATTTGCCTATAAGCCTCAATTTTATTAATATGGACTTGAAGCTTATTAAACAAAGAAGTTTTCCTAAAAGTGGGGTATCTTTAGTACAATTGGGCATTGATAAAAAAATCGCCTATAATTTATGATTTTTTTAAAAACCGGACTTAGCCAAGTTTAGCCACTCAAAAGTCCTCTTTAAATAGTTTTAACAATGACAAGCTCTATTTGCATTTGAAAAAAAAAAATCTAGTTTACAGTGAAACAATTGTCAATAACTTAAATTAAATATTTTTTTAGTTATCACTTCATATTCATCAAAAAACATGACTTACTTAAAAAAACACTAAACTTGGATTTCCTACTTACTGCTGAGACTTGGCCCATTGTTTATATGAACTTTTTTTTATGCCTTCAGGTTAGCTATTACTTCTATAAAAATTTACTTACGGGACACCCTGTATATATATTATGTTAAAATATTTTTTAAGAACATACTTTTATCTTAGTATGGTAAATAAATTTTACTTACATTGAATTAGTGCCATTAAATATTTGGTATGTTTATTCAGAAAACTTGAGTGAAGTTGAGAAAACCTATAAGCAATTATAACAACTAAAACCCATAATATATTTCAATCTAGAGAAATATTCTGAAAACACTAATGGTGTGGGTACAAAATAAAGAAAATATTTTTAAAACAATTTTATTAATTATGCAATAATCTGTTATCAGGTAGGTTTATCAGTTTGGTTAAACATTTATTCATCTTGAAAATACTCGAGCTGTGTCAGTTTATTTATTTATTTTTATCCAAAGTTTTCAAAACCAATTATTTATTATTGATATATCTAAATATACAAGATTACGAAATGAGACCAGAGGTCAAAACTGTGGTTTATCATTTTAGGCATTCGTTAGATATGATAAAACTGCATCATTTGAAATATTGAATACTGACTTTTTTGTTTGTTTGTTTATTTTTGTGGCTTTATGCATATTAGCCGATATACCAATAATACCGACATTTCTTCAACAAAATTTAGGGTAGCATTACATCAGGAATATCTCTTTTCTATTTTAGTTTAGTTTCATATAATAACACTTATATTTTTTATAAAATTCTTATTATTATTTTGTGTGTAATGAATATATTCAATTCATTTTTCAGCTGATTTAGCTTATGAACTTTTATACTTGGCATGGCTAGGTTATTAAATGGTGCATGATCCTTTGAAGCCACATTTCCTACATAGAGTCACTATGTATATAATAAATGATGATAACTAAGATAAAATTTATAATAATTATTGTACATATTTATTTATTTTTTAGAGATGGTTGCTTCCTTAGAATCTTCATATATTGTCCACTTTCTAATATATTTGGAATTATAACATAAATGTATATTTTATTGAGTAAATTTCTGAAAATAAAACATTTATACAATTCTATTTCTTTTTCTATGAATATACTTTTAGACATTTTTTCATTCTTTCTTCTGCTTAATGGAATATTTACTTTTAAATTTCTTTTTTCTTTTTCTGATTTTATCAAAACATACTTCTGTTCTTCTCAATGTTTATCTAATCTGTCAATTTGAAATAACCTTTAAGATTGTAAACCTTTATCACAGTGATACTTTTTTTACAGTTAGATATATGACAAGTTTGCTTCTTACATTATGTAATTCTATTTTGTAGTTGTTTCTGTTTTATTTATTTATTTTTTCTCTGTTCTAGTAAATCTTACTGTTTTTGTTATGTACCTTTTAGCTATTACTTTTATACATTGATTCTTAACATATAAATGAATATATTTTTATATCAAGTTACTTATAAAAATCTTTTATTGACAATATAGTGCATATGATATGTTTTTTATATGTTCTATACTTATATCTTGTAAAATATATGCATCTTCATTAGGATTACTTCAGATGAAAAAAAATGATAATATTCTTATGAGTTTTAATTTTTTAAAGTAAACTTTTTATATAGTTCATAATAGTGAAATTTAAAATTATATAATTTGCAGGTTCTTTAATGTTAGCAAATGAAATTATTAAAAAATATTTTCGCATACAATTTAATTTATTTAATATTTCGTTGTTTTTTTACAGTTATTGTATTCTGATGTCCAGAACTTTCCTTCCGAAACATTTCTCCTCTCGCAGCGATTTCCTCTATTACATTTTCCATTCACATATTTCTTGGCCGCCCCCTCCTATTTCTATACTCTAGCTTGTATAGGAAAGCTTTTTTTATTTATCTGTCATTTCCCACACTCCTTATTTGGCAAAATCATTGAATTCTCCTACTTTCAATATTATATAAAATATTTTAACTTAATTTTTATATAAAAGATAAAAAGAAAAAACTAGATTTAGTATTTGTGTAATACCTCCGAATAATAGTTGATTTTACTTTGGTTGATAAATATATAATATTATAAACTTAAAACTAAAGCAAATTAATAAAAATAAATTTAAAAATTGCAATTCCAAAAATAATATTAACTGTTTCATATAACTTTGTTCTTTGTGGCCAAGTTTTCTTCATTGGTGAAGATGTAAAGATTTAGTGTTTTTTCTTCAAAGTCACTGACTTGCACATTTATACAACTGAAATAAGATTGATCTTAAACCGACTTTCTTTTTATCCACATCTCAACTTAACTCAAAACCAGGATATTAATCGACTCAGTAGTGAATTCAGGATATAAGTTTTTGGGTAGGAGAAGAGGGAGGTAACCTGTTTTTGATTTTTTAATAACACTAATTACGGGAATAATATTACCTTTGGTGATAAAATGTTTATATTTTTTCTTGATATCTGTTTGAATTTAGAACCTGAAGTAAATGCACTGTACTTTAAGTAGAGAACATATTGTGATTTTTTCAATATTTCGCTGAGATCATTCATAGAAACAAATATGGAGCAATGGGGGAAAAAAAAAGTTTTTATTTTCAAAAAGAAGGGAGGCTTCATCCCAAAAGGATCTGTTAGTGACTTGACTCATCCATGTCCTCTGAACAGCACTCACATCTCAACCAAGTAAAAAATTATAACTTAAAACATTTGTTTTAAATATTCACTTTTTTGATGTTTTTTAAAAAAAAAATAATAATGATTTCAATATAGTAAATTAGGTTTCCATTTGAATTCACAGAACGGTCTCGATAAATCGAAACCCTTGAAAATCCAAACACAAAGAAAAAGAAGTTAAACGTGAACCACAAGAGACGGAATAGAAATAGCTCTGTTTCTCAGTACATATTACTGGAATTGCTTTGTTTGGTAGTGTCGAATTGTATTGTGTAATTTCTGGGAATATATTATCTGAAAAGGCAAAGTTTCTCTTTAATAATTTTTTTTAAGGAGCATGACAAAGCAGATTTTAGTTAAAGGTTTGCTTGATAATTTCAAAAGAAGCCATGGAATTTTATATTGATTTTATTTTACTGGGAAATTTCTTTATTTTATTTTTCATTATACATAAGTCATAGAAACGTCATAAAGTCATTTAATACTTGCTTGGAGTGGATCAATGGATACAATGTCGATTACTGAAGCCTTATACTTTTTAAGAATTTGCGAGAACAGACGCGTTTTATTTAGCTACAAAATGGAAGACTCGACATACACTATAAGATCATTTTCAAAAAAAATTTTTTTTTTTACTATGTGTTTATATTTAACTGACAATACATATATTTTTGTTACCTTACACAATTTGTCTTCATTTAAAATTTAACCTTCAATACTTCAAACGGGCCATACAATCTATGTGTTTGAATAATCAAGGCTATTCAATACTTTTCAATATATCTAAACAATTTCAAGACTGATTTAAAAAAATAAATGGCATTAGGAAGAATAGTCAGTATTCAAATTATAATAAAATTTAATGGACTGTACATCAAATTTTGCTCATTAATTTACTGTTTCAGAAAAACAATTCAACAAAAGTTTTTAAATCCGTTCCTATTGCATCTTCGAGATTTTCGGGCTTAAACATTTGATCCGGAAATCCTTCCCTACCATCTGTGGCCTTTATTTTTTCTGCATCCATTTTATGGTCCTCTGACATATATAAAGTTGGGTACCTAGTGAGGAATAAATACAGACCAACGAAAGAATATTTCTCCATGTCCTCTATGATTTCTTCAATGTTTGGTTTGTTTCCCTTGTATTGATACTTATCCAAAGTATTTATAAGAGCATTATAATATGTTCTTACGAACAGCTGAAAGTTTTCATGTCGAATAGAGGGCTGCAATGCTAGATATATGTAATACATAAGGTCTATGCATGGAGATCCGTAATTCAACATTTGAAAATCCACAAATCTGTAAAAAAAAAAAAAAAAAATAAATAAAATAAACCATATATGGTTAATTCTACAAAAAGTGAAATTTGTTTTTATAATAATTTTTTTCTGATTCGAATCTAATTTTTTAAAAATGATTTTTTCATGTCAGTAGGATGCCTTTTTAAGTTTCTAACAGGCTGCTCGGAACTCCTATTTGGTTTGGCACAATATCCGATCAAAATTTTAAAACTTTCAAATAAATGACCTATCATTCAGATGAATGATATGAAACATATACTAAAACTAGGGAGAAAAATTTAAAATAAAATTTAAAATTAAAAATCTAAAGTACTTTAATTTATAATTTTCTGCATCTAGATTAAAAATATTTTTGATATCTTGAGTAACAGTTTATACTACAGTAACTAAGAATAGGGGAAAGTGTAGTGTTCTTTTTAAACAAAATAAAAGATATTTGGATAACCACTAGCTGATCCAGATTTTAATTTTGGGGGGGCTTCAGCCCGATATAACGATAATTACTTTGGAAAATAAAGAAAGATACTAACTACCTGTATGAAATGGTGTTTAAGTGATCCTTAAAGTTCTATTAAATGTAATTATACAAACAATAATACTTTAAGAGATAATTTTTAAATAGTTTTTCCATAAAACATGGTTACATTTTACTATTTTGAGGGAGACTTCAGCCCCCTAATCACCCTCCCCCCCCATATCAACTAATTGAACTACCATGAACAATCCAATGGTCTGACAACCTTTCATCCAAACAATGCTTCAACTGATAAGGGAAATGACCAGGATCTCTGTCATGCTGAAAGTACCTTTGCTGATGTCTAGAAGAACATCTAATAATAATCTCTGCAATGTAATAATGCAACGTGTTATGCTGAAAATGTCTAGGAAGCAATGGTAGTATTTTCGAACACATTTTAGATACGTGTATGAAATAATGTTGATTTGTAATTAGTCAATAAAATTTAAACAAATAAAAATCGGATAAAAACATATGAGTTTGGTCCATTCATCCTGACTATGTTATTAATACAGGATGAGTCCTGTATAAACAACATCTTTCTGAAAAATTGATTTGTTATTAGTATTTTAATATTTTGAGAGAAATTAAGTATAAAAAAAAATATTTGTCGTTCTGCCATTGCTGCTGTTGAATAAAGATGTCAAGCCTGTTTTAATGCTGAAGGAAATCATTTTGAACAACATTTAATATGAATGTTAATGTTTATTATAATGAACAAATAATGTTAATGAACAAATAAATAAGTTTTATTTATTTCATATAACGTAAATAAGTCATCTGAATTCATGTATCATGATATTAGTGTTCCTAATTCCTGATTCCTTCAGGGGAGAACCTAAACCTGTACCACTACCGACCCACGAAGTGTGTTGGGTGACGGGCCAATATCATGCTCCACCACCAGGTTTTCTTCCTTAATTAATTATTTAATTAAGAGTACCAACTTTATAGAGGCTGGGTTTGCCCCAGCAGGGTCTCCTGGCCCCCTAGTCGACCCACGGCTGATGAAAAGTTACTAGTCATTAGCGAGATTCGAACCTGGGACCTTCAGCTCTGGAAGTCAGTACTCACCCACTGAGCTACCACGCTCCCTTCCCTCAGAAGAGAGCCAAATGAATAACAAATTGTCTGTAGAATTTGAATTTTTATCGTGATGGATAAGAGGTATAAACAGAGTCAGGATTAGATATTTTTTTTTTAATATTACTTATTTTTTTATTCAATAAGACCAAAATGGCTTGTGACAGGAAAATATACTTTTCATAGTATCACAGGTTTGTATAGTTTGCATAAATAGTCCAAAACCCTTTTGAGAATCAAACCTTGAAAAAAATTAAGATAGATTACCTTACTGCAACAGGTCGCTCATCATAATTAAATTTGAAGACAATGTTATTTTTATTAACATCGCCATGATTTAAAACATTAAATTTGGTTTCATCAATCACATTTAGTTTTTCTAGTCTTTGAGTCAAAGATTCTGTTGTAAGTTTTATTTTTTCTACTACTGGAATCCTGAAATAAAATAAATTAGATTAATAATAAAATAATGTAAACTTTTTGGGAGCAAAAAACAAAACAAAAAAATATATATATGTGAAGCAGAAGATAGTCAATGAGGTTGTATTTCCTAGTTATCTTTACCTTGGACACAATTTAAAATGATTTGTTTCATTAATGCTTAACTGAGAAAATTGAGTAGCATTTATAAATTTCTTTCTCGGCTTTTGTTTTTGAACATTTTATAATTTTAATTTAGGTTTAACAAAAGGAAAGGCTGAATTGCTTGGTTCTAGGTTGGAAAAGAAAAGGACTTGCTGGCGGTAGAAACCAACATTCGTGTATATAGAAAAAGAGAGGAGCGGTGTAGGAGAAGCTTTAAGAAGAAAAGGGAAAGGAAGTATAAACCAATTCCAACTAACAAATAAACCCTAAAGGTGTATATGTGTATATCTTGTCTCATGTAAATAAAACCTTGTTTCATTATATACATATATAAATTTAAACTTAACTATTTAATTGGGAATAACGTCACTTATCCAACAATAAGTGACCTTATTCCCGATTAAATGTTTAAATTTAATACTCAAAGGTCGATTAAGGAAACGTTGTAAAGATATATATATATATATATATATATATATATATATATATATATATATATATATATATATATATATATCACTCATATAATAATAATAATAATAATGTTTTATTTATTCTGGGACGAGTCCCTTTAAAATAATACAGAAAGACAAAAATGTGGGCTAAGGAGCCTCAGAGATACATAAACAAAAATATAGAGTAAATGAATAATCAAAATAATAAAAGAAATTATAAGTCATTTTCTACTTTAAATCAGTTAATAATAAAAAAAAAAAAATGAAAAATTGAAAATAAACATAAACTAAAAATAATGAGGAACGATCTGATAATTTATATTCATATTTACAGTACTATTTATAGTACTATATATCTATTTATATATAGATATAAATAATCATATTCATATAACTCATATATATAACTCATTGTTTCTCCATTATAGGAAAAATATTATAGCTCAAGACAGAATGAAATTGCAAAAACACTATGAGTGCTAGAAAAAACTGAGGCTAGATATGGATTCAACACATTAACATACATGAGAATCATGTAATATATATATATTTTTTCTTTAGTTATAATGGTACAAATGATATAATAAATTATAGCAACAATAACTAACTTCAATTTTAGTTTACAGTTGAATGGTTAGTTAAGGTTAGCTAATTTTTCTATCAGCTGTTATTTAACATTTATAGATTGTAAACAAAAAGTTAGAAAAATACTTAGTTAATTACTGAAAACATATACAACTGGCTAGGCATCTCTAGTCATGCCATCTTATTTACTAGAAAATAACTGTTTTTTTGTTATCCACTAAAAACTTTGGATATTTCATCCTTCAAGTTTTGTTTGAAAATAAAATTAAAAGAATAAAAATTAAGTCATATAGGTAATAAAGAACCTCCATGATCAAAACTTTTTGTACTTGTTTTTACTTCTTTAGTTTTGATTATAACTTTTTATTAACATAACAACAAAAATGAATAGGGTTGGAATGAGTCCACAAAAAAAGTTATTTAAGAGAGGTTGTGTAAATTTAAGAATGCTATGTTAAAGAACAGCTGTAATTAAATTGCTTCTTCCAAGGTTATTTTAATAAACAATACAATTATATACTCACCACTTAGGATCCCATAATTTTTTTATTCCTTCCACCAACGAGACGATACTCCAATACATATGATGATGTGTGTCCTTATCAAAAATAAACCAAGGCCTTAATCCTTGCAGTGAAAGATGTCCTCTTTCTTCTAGTGCTTTACACATTCCATGATACCTACCAAGAGCGTGAACACCAAGCATTCCTTGTTCAAAATCAAAGAGATCTGTCTTTCCAACCATACGGAAACCCTTGGCCTGTTCAAAATAACAAATCATTTAATTTACATTAGATCGCTTTTAGAGCAGTTTGTATCAATATGTAGATTATTAATTACCTTCAAATCTTCCATTACGATGCAGGTGTAAGGAATATGATAGATCATTCGGCACCAAAGAATATCATCATAATCTTGAAATTCTTCCATTAGGTACTCCATTTCTTTTAATGTGGTATACATCTGTTATAAAAATAGATTATTAATGTATACCATAAGTATATGTATTTTTATTTTTACTTACGTACATATGTAATATATAGTAAGAGTAAGTATTGGGATCATGAAAACTTTTGAATCTGAGTATTCAACGGAAACACACGTTTTTGGGTACCCTGAGTCAAAATAACCAAATCCTGAAAAATGGTCTGTTTGTCTGTATGTTTGTTTGTTAACAGTCTAGCTCAAAAACGAATGTTTTTTCTAATTACAAAAACTATGAAAATGGAAAAGAAAACCTGAAATGCCATAAATGGCTAAAAAATTGTAAGAATTGAATAAAAAAAAAAGTTTGTCAATTCTTCCTGCAAATATAATAATTTGAAACAAATTGTTATAACCTAGTAAATTAAATGAAATTAATAAAGAAGAAAAAATATAATCAGGAATTACAGTTTATTAAGCATGGCGATGTTTATATCTCAGCAAATGAGTCATCACCAGGTATCTCAAATATTTGTCAGTGAGGTCATCAGCAGATATCATACTTTGGATGAAACATCGGCAAACTTAATAAACAACATAAATGACTGCATATCATGATTATTTTCATTCTCATAATATTAACAGTCTATTATATTAATGCCTATAAAATTTTGCAATTAATAAAATTATTTCTTTTTTGTCATAAATACTCCCTTAATCTTCAAAAACACATTTTTAGCAATTGATCTGTCTGTCTGTGCCAAGATTTTCTCGGGAACTATTGAACAGATTTTGTTTGAGTGGACACACCAGATTTTTTGATAAAGGTTTAAGCACCATTCAACTTAATGGAGGACAAAAAATCCTTTTTCAAATAACGATTATAGTTTTGCCAATGTATACTTTAATACAGCAAGTTAAGACATTTCTACAAATTAAATTTCACATTTGATTCATCAGTCTTACTTTATTTTTTTCATTCACCAATATTTCAGCTCTTTAGACCATTTTCAAGTGAACAAAAAATGATTTTAAAATTAAAAACATTGAGGATAATTTGCCCATATCACATTTTTTATACAATAAGCATTTTATAAAAATGTAAGATTAGGAAGACTAATGGTTCAAACATGAAATTTTATTACTAGAAAGATTTTTTATTTTTATTCTTAAAGTAGTATTATAATAGAATCTATATACATTTTTTTATGCAATATATATAAACTGAATAAAATTTTGATATTATTTTAAATTTGAATGATTTTAATTTTATTATTAATAAAAATAAAATCATTATTTTTTAGAATGTCTATTCTCCAAATTGAAAATTTCAACTTTAAATATTAAAATAAATGTTTGCTGCTGAACACCATGTATACGATTGCGAACAATAAAAGATCTCCTATTCTATACAGTAGGAATTTATTAAGGTGGAAAAGCTTTTATTGCTACAACATATGTTAATGAATTAGAAATATTTGTTTATATTAGTGTATTTTTCAAGATAATATTGAAATAATAGTCTTTATTGTATATAATAGAAGTTTCCTTAGGCAGTAAAGGTTTAATTCTTACAATAATTAGTTATTTATAAGTTTATACTCCTTAATAAAATAAATCACAATTTTTGAGTTTTTGCACTTCAGCCATTTTCAAAAAGTTATGTCAATACGGCTCATTAGAAAAATTAAATTGTAACATTATTGTAACATTTAGATATTCTTATTCAGGTATAACGATTTTGAGGATAACTTTGTTTTTCAACTTTGGAACAGAAAAAACAAGGAAATATATAATTTTTTTCATTTTAACGTATTTTGAGAAGAAAGAATAAATTTTAGTAAAAACCTGTTAACATAGAGTTAATAGGGTGATTTTAAAAAAATTAAGTTTTTAAATGTTTGATCACTTTGAAGACCCATCCATGATTGTAATTGAATTGCGTGATATGTATCCAGTTAATCTAATTGAGTTGATTTTTTTTCTATTCTTTTCTTACAACTATTTTACAACTAGTAGGCCTCCCCTAATTAAGAGGCTATGGTCTAACTTCCTGCGGGGGCCAGTCGTTGTGGGAACTAGGGGTCGGGATTCGATACTATGATCTTTACTTTACTAATATAGCACGCTGACCATCCTACTATACTGGTCCCCTTGAGTTTATTAAATTGCAGCAAATAAAATGGACTTGTAACATTGTTGGGCTTAGTAACAAAAGAATTCCTAAAAGGTTAATGTTTGTTGTTCCGATTGATAAACCTCTGAGGGGTAGACCAAAGAGAAGGTGGGAAAATTGCGTTAAGGCTGATCTGGTAGGGCTGGGTTTGTATTGTGACCGGTGGAGGGAGTTGTACGTTAAGGCATCGAATCTTCAGATTCACCAAGGCTTTTATTATTATAATCCAGAATTGTAAATATTTGATTATTAACTAAATTTCAAAATTCTCATTTCTCTCTGTATCCTTAATTCTCAATAGTGAAAAAAGTAATCGAAGGATTTTAAGTAATTAATAACAGCAGTGACAATTCAATAATAAATATTATATTATAGATTTATAAAGAATAGATACGCACCATAGTTTCATTCTTGAATGTGCCGAGTCTATTGTTAAATGCATCAATAAATGCATCTGTGGATGCTGTTTTAACAAACAGACTTTTTTTAACAGTTCTGCCATTTCCTAGGACGACTTTGAGATTGTACCTGTTGACGCTGGACAAGAAATTCACATACTTTTCAACAGCAGGAACTATCTCCAAGCTTACCACTTTTTCTGGAGTTAGGTCCTTACAGTTCCTCTTCAAAACGCATTCCAAGATTTCCTTCTCCATCTTAAAATAACGGTTATTAATAAGGTCTGGATTTACATACAATAAAAACATTGCAATAGGCCAATATAACAGTAGTGGTTTCAGGATATAATTTTGGAAGGAGCAATAAACTGGTAATAGCGATAAGTACAACAATTTAGGGATAGTGTTTTTCTATTGTTTCTTGACAGCTGGATTTCAATTAGTAGCTGAAGTATTTGTGTTATATTTTTTTGATAAATCGCAAAATACAGGAAGAATTTTTTATATAGTTTCTTGAAGGTAGGTGAAAAATTGTTATCTTCCTCCTTGGGTAAATTATGTTTTTCTCTTACATATTCAACATTTTGGTGTTCTGCCCCATTTTCAGGAATATTTTACAACATAAATATCATAATTATAATACATATATTCACTATGTAATAATCAATTCTAAAATTTTTATATACTTCACAATTTTAAAATTGATATTATTATTACCAATGTTTTAGGTAATGATGTTTTCTAATTCCTACAATGCATGATCAGTTTGTGCCAAGTTATAAGAAAATGATGAAATAAAAAAAAAATGGATAACATACAGGACAATGTTGAGGAACATTAGGAAATAGGTAATAATTATATCAATTTTAAAATTATGAAGTATATAAAAAATTAAGAATAGATTATTATATAGTGAATATATTTATTGTAATTATAATAATTATATTGTAAAATATACCTGAAGATAGAGTAGAGCCCTGAAATGTGAAATATATAAGAGAAAACATGATTACTGAAAGAATTTACCACAGGAGTAAGATAAAAAAAAAATTTCTCATACCTTCGAGAAACCATATAAGTTATAATTTAAAAACAGAACATAAAGGTCTCCTCATTTGTTTTGTCTACAAGTATAAGGCCATTTGATTATCATAGTTTTCAATTATTTTATAATTAAAAAAGACAACATTTCAGACACCAGGCATCGCTTGGACCTTTTTCAAGTCTTATTCAGTACTTTTATCTACAATAACCATATCAAATTTTATTTAATTGGTTTCATTAAAGAACAAATGTGTCAAGTATGGTCTCCCATCGTAAGTGATACATGGAAAAACTCTTCCATTGATTGTCCACTTAAGGAAATTGAATCCTAGGAAATAAACAAGAAGAAACGCTGGATTACAAAAACTGGCATGAAGCAATCCAAAAGTTTCATCAATTAGTCAACAAAACAGGATAAATTCTGTCTACATCTCACAAAAATAAGATGACAACAATAATGAGTCTCTTTGTGGGCCACAGTCTGTAAAAAGATCATCTTAAGAAGATGAAAATAATGGAAGATTCCACCTAACATATGAGCCTTGAGAATATAGAAACAGCTAAGTACATTCTGCTTTGGCATCTATAAGTCTTGTGTCTTGTACTTTATAAGGCAAAGTAGGTGATTGGGCCAAGATCATGGTCAATCACCAGTTTTTTTCCCTTAATTAATTATTTAATTCATAGTACCCACTTTATAGAGGCTGGGTTTGCCCCAGAAAGATCTCTCGACTCCATGGTCAATGTATGACTGATAAAACAGAATAGATAATTATCTGCTGTAAGTCATTAATCGGGACCTTGAGTTTAGGAAGTCAGTACTTTATCCGATGAGCTATCCCTCCTGGGCTTCTATAGTTATAATCATTAAACTTCAAAATGTAATTAGTACTATTCTGAAGGACTTAATGTGTATATGATTCCTGCAGGATATGTAAACAAACAAACAGATATTTTATAAATCTGTTTATTAAATATGAAATTAATTTTTTTTGTGATAACAGTAATAGAATATAAATATATAATCTAACTTTACAAATTAATAAGTTTATGCTAATGACACATGAATTCTTAAAATTTTGAAAAAATGAAAATAAATCTCCCAAAAGATTAACATGAATCGTAAGGAAGAAAGGGCTTCCCATCTCTTTATATACAATACAATAATAATGATAATGAACTAAGATTTATTATAGAAACAATGTTTTGCATGAAGGAAAATTTGAATTATATCATTGGTACCATGTTCATGTAATGAATGTGAGCCTCTTTAACATTGCACATTTGTTACTTTAACATGGGGCTGACGATATCTCTACTTGTCAGTTAAATTAAAGTTTACGAAGGCCTAGGGGTGCCCATCCCTCCCAAGGTCGATGATGTAAGAACCTTCTCCCTCCCCTTTCCAAGATATTTTATTTCTCTCCTTTTCTTAATAACAGTGCAAACGAAAGTAAAGTTTAAAAGATCGTAGATCATATACAATTACACTTGCTGTGGTCTGTTCCCTGTTTTTCTCTTGTCCCTAGTTCGAAACTTTCCATTAAAAAAATTCATGACTTTGCCGAAATGTGCCCCCTCAAAAATTTTGATGGCACAACTTGCAATCCCTGCAAAGACCTGTTTAAATCTACTTTTTAAATATTTTATAAATCTGTTTATTAAATATGAAATTAATTTTTTTTGTGATAACAGTAATAGAATATAAATATATAATCTAACTTTACAAATTAATAAGTTTATGCTAATGACACATGAATTCTTAAAATTTTGAAAAAATGAAAATAAATAATTTCTAAAATGTACAATTTTAGTTTCTCTAAATATTGTAGTACATTATATCAATTAAGTAGCTAAAAAAATATTTAATAACTATCTGATCATAGTATTTTATAAAACTAACACAATTTTTTAATGTTAATGGAAAATAATGAAGAGAAGAATAGTTGGGGTGATCAGTCAAATAAGAAGGCAAAAATAAATGATATTTATTTTGACATTTGCCTATATTGACATGGCAAATGTCAAAATAAAATTATCATTTATTTTTGCCTTCTTAGTTGACTGATCACCCCAACTATTCTTCTCTTCATTATTCAGGACTGTCAACCATTTACCCACAATTAATGGAAAATAAATTTTACTTACATAGAATTTTTGTTATTACGTTCGTTATATGATAATTGGTATGTTTACTTTTAAAATGTTAGTGAAGCAGTAGGCAGAGAAAAGAAGCTACTAAGAAAACTAGCAAACCATCTTAAATCTCTTTCTACAAAAGTATTCTGAAAACACTAATGGGGCAGTATGGCATAAAATAAAGCAAGTATTTTAAAAACAATTTTATTAATTATGCCATTATCTCTTATCAGCAAGGTTTATCAATTTGGTTAAATATTTATACATCTGGCAATGATTTCAGTTTTATTTGTTTGTTTCCAAGTTGTTGAAACCACTTAGTATTATGATTCATTATTGTAAAGATTGAGAAATTTAACTAAAGGTAAATATGGTATTGTTCTTCTTTTAACTGTTTGCTTTATTGAAAAAAAAAAAAAAAACATAATTAGAAGTCAGTGGTGGACCTAGATTTAATTTTGGAGGATTTTATTTTTTAATTTATCAATTTTTAAACAGACATTACTTTGAAGAAAAATGAAGAAACTAAATGAAATCATGTTTAAGTTGTCCTTGAAGGCCTCTTAAAAAAACAAAAAACAAACATTTTAATTACAGGAACAATAATGCTTTTAGTGATAAATTTTCTTGACACCTGCATGTTATGCTACATTTAATAACTCTATAAGCATTATAATTTAAAAAGTTGAATTGTTATTAAGTTTTAGCGTTATCAAGTTTATCATCAACAAAAAGTTGACAGGCACAAATAGATTGTTATAACCAACAAAAAAAACAACAAAACTAATCTATAAAATAATAACGTTATTATTTGTTTAACAACAAATAACAAATAAATAACTAAAACTTAATTAAAAATACATAAATAATTTAAAAATAGTATATATTGTGATTGTTTAAGTATCTAGATTAGATCACTTATGGAAACAAATATGTTCCCATGAAAAAAAAACAATTTTTAAATTTTGGGTGGCTTCAACCCTAAAGTTCTTCCTCCCCAGGAGTGCCCTCCCCCTCAAGGTGGATAGTGCAAGAACCTATTCTTGCACTCCCAAGATATTTTAATGCTCAACTATTCTTAGAAACAGAGCAAGGGAAGGTAGAATTAGAAAAATCGTAGATTGCTGAGGCCAGGATTATTTCAAAATAGAAAATAAAAACCTTTCCCAGGTGAGTTTCCTCAATGGTGGAAAATAAGAGTAAAATTAAATGGTAAGAAAGAAGTAAAAAAAAAAAAAAATAGTGAAAATGAGACCTGTAAAACATGAAAAACGCATGTACATCAAAATATTATAAAATAGAAATATTCTATAAATCAACCATGGAAAATAAATATTTTTTTCATTAAAAAAGGGGTAAAACGGTAAGAAAAAAAATAAATGAAATAAAAAAGGATGGAAAATAAAATCCACAGATTCGGGCGTTAACATAGATCATACACAATTATACTTGTTGCTGTCTGTTCCATGTTTCCCCTTATCCATTGGTATGGAACTTTCCATTCTGAAAATTCATAACCCCGCTGAAATGTGCCCCCCTCAAATATTCAAAAACCTGCCAAAATATGCCTCCCTAAAAAATGCTGATGGTGCAGGTTGCGCAGGTTCCTCTCCTTGTGTATCCGCCAGTATTTGAAGTATCAACTACTGACATTTCTTCAACAAAATTTAGAAAAGTGCAATATATTGAAAATATCTTATTTCTGTTACTTACAATTTTTTTATTCTGTGAAAAAAGAATATTTTCGATTCATCTTTTAGCAGACTTATCTTATGAATTTTCTCATTATAAATAGTTTATTTACAAGCTGATAATCTTCTCAAGCCAAATTTAGTACATAAGAGTAATTTGGTACTTGTGACTTAGCCTGTCACCAACCTACCTTCTTATCTTATCACAACCTTCCTGCAACCTCTTCTTATCACTGGTCCCTGCTTAGTTATTTGTGCATTCTATATTGTTAACTAAACACATTGGAGCATCACAACACTAAACTATGATAACATGTATTCAATTTGAAATCATAATTCCATCATTTAATTTTATTTTTTTAATATACTTTCTTGGTATGTTCTTTTGTATGTCCAATCCACATCTTGGAGAGAAAAGACGGTACTATTTATAGAGCAAGAGTTGAAATTTATGATTATTTGTAGAAAACATTTACTCATACACCATTATCAAGCCTCTGATTTTTATGCAATTGCGTATTTTTACTTTCACTTACGTATATATGTAATATATACGTAAGAGTAGTAAGTATTGCGATCGTGAAAATTTTTGAATCTGAGTTTTCAACGGAAATAGACGTTTTGGGGTACCCTGAGTCCAAATAACCAAGTTCCGAAAAATAGTCAGTATGTCTGTATGTTAGCAGTCTAGCTCAAAAACGAAAAGTCGTACGAAACTGATATTACGTATTTTAGATAGATGTGACAGCAACTTTTTCCTTAAAAGCGACTAATAAATCGGAAGTGCCACTTTATATCAAAGCTGAAACACATTTTTACAATTTTCTCAAAAAAGACTAATGATTTTGATTAAACTTGGTGTATCATTGTATAATTAAGTGATCTTTAATATCATTGAGGTCTTATCCCCGTTGATGTCACTTTACAGAATTTAAATGCCCAATGTTCATATGCGCCTTTTTCTAAAGTACCTTTAACATGATTTCTTTTAAATAATTAACTATCTCTCATTATTAAGAGTTACGAAAAAATGCTAAATATAACTTTTGAAAGAAATTTGATAATTGAATAAAGGAGAAAAAAAAAAATGTTCATCCAGGTCGGAAATGAATCTCCGGAAATACTAGTCAGAAGCTATACGTATAATATATAGTTGGAAAGCGGAGAATTTTAGAAAAAAATCTAATATCGAAAGTTGCATAACATAACGGAGTGTGGCAAAAAACTTATAAATAATAATTTTTGAAAAATAATAATATTTAACGTAAATCACGTGTTTTCAAGGAAATTAAATGAAATTTACTAAATGTAAACTTTTAAAATATTTTTAAGTCTGAAAAAGTATTTAAAATCCACCTAATCAAGGCAATGCCATTGTTTAAAAAACTATTTTATTGAACTCGTGTGAAGGAAGAAATAAAATATAAAATCATTTCATGGATGTATAAAGCATATGTTTATAACCTTAAATACATTTACTGTAATTAAATAATTCTAGATCTGATATTATATTTAAATATTTAGGTATCTATCGTCCATTTATTCCAAAAAATCATCATGTAATCTTTTAGAAAATTAAATTAGTGAACGGGGGGGTGCGGTCAAATAAATACTAAATTAAACAAATATATTTAATTTTTGCCGACGTTTCGACCCACTTTGCAGGTCTTCATCAGGGTGTAGGATGTAGCACTGCGGGAGGCACTTGAAACACTTTCACGTTATATACATATACATTTAAAGGGCTTGAAGAAGAAGATTTTGATTGCTTCATTAAAATCAGTGCATTAGTTTAGGCGCTGCAGTATATAGTGATCAAATGAAAACAAATATTAAAATATTATTTCTTTTAACTTCTGTAAACACAAATTCATTTAACAATTCATCCAGCTCAAGTATTTCACATACTTGTATTCACTTAATATTTTGAACCTAACCTTGTGCGACGTTTGTTAATAGATATTCTGAGTGGTTGGACCACCTCCTCTAAGTCATGCTTTGTCCCCCAAGCGTGGAAGCCAAAGCAAGTGTTTCTCTCCCAGCCCCGTCACTGGTATTGGAAGCCAATGGAGACCGATGGAGGGCACTAGAGCAACAGACGCTCAGGACCTGAGTAGAGAATTTGGCCATTGCCAGTACTCCAATATATACATATTTACAAGAGGCAGCGGGGCCACTGCCGTTTTAACCTCCGGGGAGGATTGTAGTGATGGCTGTGCTACAGGATTTCGATGATCAGTGAGGTTCTGGTGAAATTTGGAAAATTTGTCTGGGATTATGTTATGTACAAATGGGATATGAAGGTCATTATGGCGGGTTTTATTGGATACACAGAAGGGAGCATCGACTATTGTTCGAAGGACTTTAGACTGGAAGGATTGAATGCTTTGATGTTAGAATGTTTTGCTGTTCCCCACAGTTCTATTCCTTAGATCCAGGTTTCAGGATTGTCTTGTAGATTAGTATTTTGTTGTCGACTGAATGTTGAGATTTTCTATTCAATAGTCTATATAGCTGTCCGTATCGTCTGTTAAGTCTGGTATGTGTGTTTCACGTTAGTTAAGGAAGTTAATTTTTATTCTTGGTCGAATACGAGGATGATTATTAAAAATAATAATCCAATGCCCTACTATATTTATTTATTCTATATAAAATATTTCGAGTGTTTCATCACTTTTTGGCCTATTAGCTAAGATGAAATGAAAAAAAATATTAAAAGTTTAATTTTTTAACTTCTGTAAACACAAATTCATTTAACAATTCATCCAGCTCGAGTATTTCACATACTTGTATTCACTTAATATTTTGAACCCAATCTTGTGCGACTCTTATTAATAGATATCCTGAGCCTTGTGCGATACCTAATATAATTTTATTTGGATATTATTATAATTTGTTTCTATAAAACATTCATTTTGACGCCTATTTGCAGTATATCGTTTGCTTACTGAGTAGAGCCATGATTGCATGTCGAGATGTTCAAAAAACATTATTTTAAGATGTGACATCATCAAAGCAAAGCAGCAATATGATAACAATGTTTTCAACACAATAAATTACTTTTGATAAGGTTAGATAAGTTAGTTGGTTATGATCGATAAGGTAAGACATTTTCCATGAAGGATAAAACTACCAGTTATCGGCAGCACACTAGAGTTATTTAAGAAATTTAAGAGTTGAGAATGGTCTAGAGCTGGCGAAAGGTGCTCATTTGAAGAGGGAATCCCCTCGCGCTCACATATTCTAGAATTTCACACTATTTATTTAGTTCTATAGGTCGAAAGATCGCCAAAGGTTAGAAACCCGACTGGTGTCACCAGAGGTGCCCATCCCCTCCCCCCAAGGTTGATGGCGCATGAACCTATTTCCTCACTCCCAAGATATTTTATTGCTCATCTTTTCTTATAAACAGAACAAGCGAAGACAGAATTAGAAAAATCGTATATCATACACAACTATAATCGCTGCTGCCTGTTCCATCTTTCTCCCCTTGTATCTTGGTATGGAACTTATCATTCTGAAAATTCATAACCTCACTGAAATGTGCCCCCCTCAAA